CAACCATTTTGTTACAGGACGAGGCTCCAACCAATGAGCCACACCGGCCAGGGTACTGTTGGTTACACTTGATGGAGGACCAAAGTATAAAAACTCAGAACTAGTGTTTTAGAAGAGCTTAATAAATTCAACCTAGAATAAAACACCTGTAAACATTTTGACAAATGAGGGTGGTTAGGTTCCTGCCTGCAACTGCAGGAAGCGGCATGTTCAGTGTAAGCATACGTGACAACAGCTGTTGCTGTGTTGAGTTCCAACTGTGGCTGCCAGCTAAAAGAAACCCGCTGTCCTGGGTTTGTAAGTTGGAAGGACTACTTCTTGTTTTCCCACACTACACATCTCATCGCTTGATTGGGGAAAATTGCTTTCTTGTGAGACCTGTTTTTCAGGGTAGCTGGTCATGTTTGAAGAATAAATATGTTTGTTTAATAAATAAGCAATTTCATGTTTTAAGGAAGATCTGAAAAGATTATTCAAAATCACTCACTTTACAGTGGCAACTGAAAGGATGCCTTTTATATTTTCACATACTGGATATGGGTGAGCTTTCTATTTCAAGTCCTTAATGTTGAGTCAAAAGAGAAACAAATTTTTCTCTGCAATGGTGAATTTCATGCATCACCATGGTTAGGCCATGGTGACCAGTTGTTTGGTCAAACCCCGGTATAGATGTTGCCGTGGAGGCATTTTTAAAGTTATAATTAATGTTTAAATCAGTTGACACTGAGTAAAGTGGACCACAGTCCATGATGTGGGTGGACCTTGTCCAATCAGTTGGAAGTCTTAAGAGCTAAGACTGAGGTTTCCCAAAGAAGAAATTCATGTCAAGATTCTAGCATAATAACCCTGCCTGAATTTCCAGCCTCCTGCCCTGCAAAAATTGAACTCAAGACTACAACATCAACTCCTCCCTGTTGGCCTGACCTACAGAGTAGATTTTGGACTTGCCAGCCTCTATGATCACATGAGCCAATTCTTTGAAATAAATCTCTATTGAGCTGAATATATATGAATATTACCCCCTCCCTCATACATATATTCTCTATATACGTTTTGTTTCTCCAGAGAAGCAGAATCAATAGGATGTGTGTGTATATATATGTATATTCAACATCCTATTGATTCTGTATCTCTGGAGAACTATAACACACCCTCTCAGCAATGTGAAAAATATGAGAAAGTCCAACCTCATGGGCCAACAGACACATAGGATGTAGACAGGAACACAGACTCTGAGGCTGCTAAAAAGGCAAGAGTGAGCCCTGGCTGGCATAGCTCAGTGGATTGAGCATGGGCTGTGAACCAAAGTGTCACAGGTTTGATTCCCAGTCAGGGTACATGCCTGGGTTGCAGGCCATGGCCCCCAGCAACTGCACACTGATGTTTCTCTCTCTCTCTCTCTTTCTCCCTCCCTTCCCTCTCTAAAAATAAATAAATAAAATCTTCAAAAAAAGATAAAAACAAGAGTGAATTTTAATTTTTGCCACGAGACTGATGCTGCAAACATCAGACCTTTTATACACCTCTTGGTAGTCACAGAACACCCTCCCCCATGTACCTCACACCATCCTTCTACCTGGGAGGGCAACAGGGGCAGGTGTCATGGCCCTATGCAGCAAATGGGGAAGGTGACTTGGCCAAGGACAGGTGAGATGAGGGGCAGAGCCTATGTGATGTAACTCTAGGCCAGGGTCCACGTCATTTTCCGTATTAGCATCTGAGAAGTGGGTGGTATGATACAGAGGTCTCAGGAAGCCTCTCATAGACCTCAATTCCCCATGAGGAGAGGCAGTCTCGAGTCACCCCAAGAGCTCACTCCTTGGTGCCCATTCACTCATTCATGCTCACCTACCTGCAACAGGAATCTGGTGCTATGCTAGGCCTGGGGTTGCATGGCTGATGGAGACAGACTCAAAGCTTATGTTTCAGCACAAGAATGAGTACCATGAAGACAAGAAAACTAGAAATGTAGAATGGGGCACCTGTAACTTTATACAGGGACTCTGGGAGAGAGTCATGCAGGTATTCGAAGCACAAGGGGTAATATGTGCCAGGTCTGAAAAATAATGAGCAAGGAGGCTGGTGGTGGAGGTGGAATGAGTCAGGAGGAGGGTGGTTGAAGATTCGGTCATGGAAGAAGAAAAGGTCCTATAGGCCCCTGTGATGACCGACTTTGGTTTGTTAGTTTACATTTAAAATATCAACTTTATTCTTTAGAGCAGTTTCAGGTTCACAGAAAAACTGAACATAAAGTAGTGTTCTCATAAAACCCGTGCCTCAACAAATAACGTGGCTTCCCCCACTATCCTCACTTCTGGTGAAGATCCTGATCCTCACCAGAGTGGTGTATTTGTTACCAGTCATTAACCTACACTGACATGTCAACACCCGAAGACCATGGTTTACTTTAGGGTTCCCTCTTAGTGCTATACGTCCTATGGGTTTGCACGATTGTAGAATGTTTCCATGAACATTGCAGTATCCTACAGATTAGTTCCACTGCCTTAAAAATCTTCTGTACTCTACCTATGTATTCCTCTCTCTCCTTCAGTCTTTGGAAACCACTGATTTCTTGCTGTCTCCATAGTTTTGCCTTTTCCCAGAATTTCACACAGTTGAAAGGATACAGCATATAACCTATCCATATTGCCTTCTTTCACTTAGTAGGATGTATTTAAGGTTCCTCCATGTGTTTTCATGATAATGCATTGCTTTTTAGCGCGCTGAACGGCTCATTCCTTTTTAGCACTGCCTAATATTCCACGGTTTGGATGTACCACTTTTCATCCATTCACTTGCTGAAGGTATTTCAATGGCTTCTGAGTTTTGGCAATTATGAATAAAGCTGCTATAAACACCCACTTACAGGTTTTTTGTGCAGACACCTGTTTTCGTCCCCTTTGGATGAGCTCCAAGGAGCATGACTACTGGGTCTTCAGGTAAGAGTACGTTTACTTTCGTAAGAAAATGCTAAAACATCTTCCAAAGTAGCTGAATCATATTGCATTCCCACCAGCAACGAATGAGAGTCCCTCTTGTCACATCTTCACCAGCATTTGGTGGTTTCAGATTTCTCCTCTTCTAAGATATGTAGTAGTATCTCTTTGTTGCTTTAATTTGCAATTCCCTAATGACATAGCATGTTCAACATATGTCATATGCTTATTTGCCATCAGTACATCTTTTTTGGTAAGATGTCTGTTCAGGTTTGTCTTTAAAAATTTTTTTAATCCTCATCTGAGAATATGTTTTCATTGATTTTCGAGAGAGGTATGGGGAGAGAGAGAGACATTCATCGGTTGCCTCCCATATGCCCCAGAGCAGGAATGGAATCTGAAACCTAGTTATGTGCCCTGACCAGGAATTGAATCCTCAACCTTTTGGTGTACAGAATGACACTCCAACTGAGCCACCTGGCTGGGACAGGTTTGTCTATTTTTAAATTAGGTTGTTCATCGTCTTACGTGAGGTTTTAAGAGTTCTTTGTGCATTCTGGATAATGTTCCTTTATCAGATGTGTCTTCTCAAACATTTTCTCCCAATCTGTGGCTTGTCTTCTCATTCTCTTGATGATCTTTGCCTTTTTCTTGGCAAGATGGGAGCCATTGGAGGGCTTTGAGCAAAAGAGGGACACGATGGAACTGAAATTTTAACTCCAATAATATCCAATAAATAATATACAAGTGGTGGTGTGTGAGAGGCAATTTTCCAGAGCTTAAGGGTAAGGTACAGGCAGGAGATAAACATCTGAAAATTATCAGCATGTAAATTGTTTTCTTAAATTAAGGTAAGATTCATATAACATAATATTAAACGTTTAAAAATGAACAATTCAATGGTATTTAGTATGTTCACAATGTTGTGTAAGCACCATCTTTATCTAGTTCCAAAATATTATTGTCCCAAAATAAAACCCTTTACCCATTAAGAGGTTCTTTCTCCTACTACTACCCCCAGTACCTGGCAATCTGCTTGTTGTCTCTATGGATTTACCAATTCTGTATGTTTGAAATAAACAGAATCATACAACATGTGGTCTTTTGTCTCTGACTGCTTTCATTTATCATGTGTTTGAGGTTCATTCACATTGTATAGTACCATGTATTAGGACTACATTCCTTTCTATGTCTAAACATTTTATTGAATGTATAATACACAATTTGTTTATCCATCATTTGTTGAGAAACATTTGGACTGTTCTACCTTTTATCTACAGCACCAACAAACATTTGTTTGTATTTGTTCAAGTACTTATTTTCAATTCCTTTGGGCAGATACCTAGAATGGGGATTTTTTTTTTAAGGTCACAAGACTGGAAGCCAAAGGGGTGAATGTAGATAGGGACCAAGGTGTGAGTCCTGGAGCAGTTCATTATTAAGAGGTCAGTATGAAGAGGAGGAAGCTGTAAAAGACTCCAGGAAGGAGTAGCCGACGGGGTGGGAAGAAACCCAGGAGTGTGTGGTGCTCTGGAAGCCAAGTAAAGTGACTGTTCTAAGGAGGGAATATATCAGCTGTTGCCCACAGGTCAAGGTCAAGGTGAGAACAGACCTCTGGATTCAGAAATAGGTAGGTCCTTGTGACCTTGGCAAGAGTCACCTCAGTGGAATAGGAAAGGCCCCAAAGGAGCAAGTTTAATGGAAACTAATAAAAGATCTTAATAGAGAGATATATCACATTCATGGAAAATTTAATAGTACTAAGACAGTGATTTTTCTGAATTGGTCTACAAATTCAATGAAATCTCAAACAAAATCCCATCATGGTTTGGGTAGAAGTTGACAAAATGATGCTAAAACTTACATAGTAATGCAAAGGATCTAGAGTAACCAAAGCAATCTTTAAAAAGAATAAAGCTGGTGTTCTGGCTGGTGTGGCTCAGAGGACTGAGTGCCAGCCTGCAAACCAAGAGGTCATCGGTTCAATTCCCAGCAAGGCACATACCTGGGTTGCAGGCCAGGTCCCCAGGAGGGGGTATATGAGAGGCAACAACACATTGATGTTTCTCTCGCTCTTTCTCCCTCCCTTCCCTTCTCTCTAAAAATAATAAAAAAAAGAAGAAAGTTGGAGGATTATCTGATTTCTAGGCTTATTAAAGCTAAAGTAATCAAGACAGTATTGCCAAGGGGATAAAAGGTAGTGTAAAATATATATAAATATATATATATACACACACACACACACACTAAAAAATAATAAAAAAAAAGATAGCACTACCTTAGCACAAAGGTAGACCTATCATCAATGAACAACAGAAAAGAGTCCAGAAACAAACTCTTAGTCTATCTTATACAAACATTAACTGGAAATGCATCTCAGGATTTTTTCCCAACAGATATCTTATTCTTAAAACAGGATTCTTGATCCTTCCTTGCCAGAGTTTCCATAACCCATTGTCCTAGCTGCAAAGAAAGCTTGAGTTCACTCTTGACCTTCGTTCTTTACCTCAGGTCCATTCTTCCAATTTCTAGCCATTTTTCCTCCCACCTTCCCATACCACCTTCAATCTGGTGCAAGCCACCACTTTCTCCACACTGGGGAACTGCTATAGCCTAAAGGGGCTTCCCACTTCCTTCCTAGCCCATTCTCCACCCAGCAGCCATAGCAACCATGGGATTCTCCTCACTAAAGCCCTTCAACTACTTCTCACTGTGCTCCAGAAAGATCCTCACCACAGGCTCTGCCTGGTATGGCTGTTACTGACCTTCCCCTCAGAGCCACATGGGCCATTATCTATTCCCACTTTTTTCCTCCTCAGGGTCTTGGCACATCCTATTTCCTCTACCTAGTCTTATCCTCCTCTTTTGGGTCTTGGTATAAATACCTCTTCCTCAGAGAGGTCTAGCTGACTGCTCCAATCCCAGGGAGGTCCCATGTTTTGACTTCATCATATCTTGGGGTTTTCCACCATTACACTTAAGATTTTCTTATTCACTGTTCAAGAGGGAGCACACATACGCCTTTCTCTACCCTTCTTCCTCCCCCCAGGAGTGTTACCTTTGCCTTTCTCCTACGCTCCAAGAGCTCCTCTTCTGTCTCTGTAACTTGTTTCCTGAGCCCATGAAGCCCAGCTGGCTCACTTCTAGCTCCGTAAGTTTCTGAATAGACTTTTTCCTATAGAAAAAAAATTTTTTTTCTATCATGCATTAGTGTGATCAACGTGGGAGACAGTCGAGTGAAGTCACAGACTGTCTGCTTCATGGGCAGGAACCCTGTCTCTTTGCTGCATCACAGTTCATCACTGCCCTATGACCAGCTCAGAGCTCAGCATGTTGAGGGTGCTTAACAAATATTAATTAAATGAATGAAAGAAACCAATGTTCAGACTCTACTCGCCCATTTTCTGTGCATTATTCCCAGACGGCTGCTTTTCATGGATTCCTCATAAGCAGCCTATGGAGGTGTGCACCATTGATTCCATTTTACAGGTGATGAAAGAGAACCGTAAACAAGTCCCATAAACTTGCTTGGCACCCCACCTACAAACAGAGCCAGGTTTTAAATCCAGGTCTTTCTGACTTCTGTGTGAGATCTTACCTTCTGCTTTATGCTGCAAGTGACTCACCTTGGACTTGGAAAGACTTGATGAGTTAATACAGGTATGATACATACTTAATAGGCATTCGGTCTCTACTATTCTTTCAATAAAAAAAAAAAAAAAAAAGCCCAGGCTGGTATGGCTCAGTGGATTGAGCACCAGCCTATGAACCAAGAGGTTGCTGGTTCGATTTCCGGTCAGAGCATATGCCCAGGTGGTGGGTCAGGTTGCTTTCCCTCTCTCTAAAAATAAAAAAAAATCTTTAAAAAAAGTGTTTAGTATGTCATGGAGGGGGGCACCACACTAGAGGCTGGATACTCACTAGTGACTAAAATTAACATCTTTGCCATTTAATTTGAGGGGAGGGAGACAGAGACAGACAACAGAAAGAGGGTACCCAAGAAATATGAAGGAAGGGAAAAGGAGGAATGATCAAAAAGGAGGTGAGGTTTGAGGTGGTGAGTCAGCTGATACCTGAAAAATGAGGAAGGGCAAGCCTGAAAGAGGCAAGGGTAGAGACTGCCACAGCCTGTGTAACCTGACCTCGGGGAACGTTTGTTCAGTTGCGGGACTAAACGAGATGCCCCCCTAGAGATCTTTCCAGTGCAAAGAAAAGAGGCTCCCTAGAGGCTCTGGGCCTTCACACTCAGAATAAGACTCTCTCCCTCACTCCTTTTGTGTCTTGACTCAAAGTCGTCTTCGCAGCGAGGCGTTCCCTGGGTGGCCCATTCAAAATTTCCATGACCCGCCATGTCTCCATCTCAACAAAGTGTATTCTACTTATTTGTCTTGCCTCGCGCCTGCCTCCCTTACTGGACCAAGAGCGGCACAGCAGCTGAGATTTTTGTCTGTTCCGAGCTGCAGCATCTGCGCCTAGGGCACAGTAGCCAGTCAATAAATATTTGCTAATTAACTGCGCTAGGTATACTTAGCAGAAAAGGCAGCCAGGGTCGAGGCACCCTGAGCCCCACCGACAGGACCCACCATCCCCCGCCAGGGATGGAAGTGACTCCCAAGCCCACCCTTGGCTGCCTATGGTCAGTTTCAGTTACAGCCTAACGCACAGCCTCTGGTCCTCACTTCCAAGTCTCGGGGAACCTTGCCATCCATAACACTACCTTCCCGTCCCATCCCCCAACCTCCCGCCGCCGCCGCCTTCACTACCGCCGCAGTGACACCCGCTCTGCGCACGCTCGGCGACGCGAAGACGCCTAGCGTCAGAAGACGAAGACCACCCCCCCTGTGCGTTGGCACAGGACAGTCCCAGACAGAGGTGGGAGGTGCGTAGGGTGCCTGTGCTGTCCTGACCCCGCCTACCTTCCTTAGGCTTCCGCGGAGGCGCATGCGCGCTGGGAGCGGAAGGGCCAGCAGGCGCGCGCACCAGGCCGGACAAGCGGCGGAAGCGGGAGAAGCTGTTCCTAGCGGGGGAGTAAGGGAGTAGGCGAGTGCGCGCGCCGCGGGGGCGCGGGCGGAGTGTGTGTGGCGAGTGGGGGGAGGCCAAGGCGGGCGGGCGCGCGCACGAGGCTTAACCTCGCTCGGTGGCGGCGGCTGCGGCTTCTTTGTTTCGTGAGGAGAGGCGGGACGCCCACTCTGCCCCCGACCCAGCAAGGAGGGGAGGGGGCGGTGTCAGGAAGGCGACGGTGCAGTCGACTCTCGGTAAGGAACGTGGGCCGCGGGGGGAGCGCGGCGCGGGGCTTGGGAGGACGGTTTGAATGGAGCCGGGGCGTTGAGGGGGGAGGGGGCCGCCGGCCCCCGAAGCGGGGCCGGGGTACGGCGGCGCCCGAGGGTCAAGAAGCCTGGCCGGCACCGCGCGCGCGGGGAAAGCTAAAGTGTAGCGAGGCCGCGGCACCTACAGTATCTGCGGGCCGGCAGGGTGGGGGCCGGTGCCGCGTGGAGGCCGCGCGCCACCCGCGCGCGCTCTCGTTGTGTTCGCCGGACAAAGCTTGCTGCCCCTTCTGCGGGCCAGGGGCCGGGCATGGATCGCAGTCTCCGCTAAGGCTGCTACAATAGCCAGGCGTCGGGAATTTTCTGACTACGTTATAATGGGCCAACCCGAATGTTGTCTTTTTGGGGAGGCTGCAGTCGCCACTCAGTAGGAAAAATCCCTGATGTGTGCATTGTCGTCTGGACACGAGCATTCGCAGCCCCCTTGGGTTAGCCGACCTAAAATTTTATTTTAAAAACATGTATTCTTGATTTTCAAGGAAATATAAATAACTTGCACCATTCTTTGCAAGTAGCGACTTAAAAATGTTTTCCCGGATTCGGGGCGTCGGCAGCAATTGGGGTACGACTGGGATAACTGCTGTTGAAAGCATTGTTTTTGCTGTGCATCCTTTTTCCTTCCTGCCAACAGATTTTCCAGATTAAGGTTTTTATTTAAAACGTGGACCTTTCAGGAGAGTGTTTTGTGCCAGTCTTGAAGACACTGGTCTTCATTCCCGTCCCCCGTCCCAGCCCCCCACCTTCGACCCCTGTTGAATTCTTGGGAAAGTAGGAAATAAGTGTAAGAACCACTTCCCAGGAATTTGAAACAAGTTTTCAGTTTGAATTGACAGACGGGATTAGTGTTTCATTCCTGGCTCTGTCTGTCACTGAGCTGTGGGACTTGAAGCAGATAGTTTAATCTCTCTGAACCTCTTAGTTACCTCCTTTGTGAAATGGGATAATGTTACAGATGGAGTTGATGAAAGCCAGTAAAATGGTTCCCGGGAAGCAGTGTTACTGTCTGGTCCCATCTCCTCCTTCATTGCTAAGCAAATACCCATTGAGTCCATACTGGGTGTCAAATGGTTTGAGGTTGGATCCCCTGAGGAGGCTCTCCTGTATTTCAAGTTTCGGGTAGTAAATGTGGGAACAGTTTCCCTTGGCCCATCATTTAATCCTCACAACTCTTTCTGTGAGAGGAATGCAGTGGATGGCCAAGGGGATGGTGTGAGCCAAAGATTAGGAAGGCTGCATGGAAGAAGAGGCTTTTACTCAAAATCAGGGAGGATGTCTAGCCTTATATTTTGACTTACATTTGTTCCCTCTGCTACAATGGCACATTGCCTCGATCCTCTCCTGTGTAGAAGGTAACCCCAGTTTGTAATTACCCATTTGTTCTCTGAGGGCCATGAGAGCTGGGGTGGTGCCTCCCACAATTCCCTGGGCCTGGCACATGGTAGACCCTTAGTGAACATTTGTGCAATGAATGAGGGGTCCTTGGGAGGATTGGGTGAACCTGTGTGTGAAATGCTTGACACAGGACTGGGGTGGTTGTAAGCAATAAACATTAGTTGCTGTTGGGTTTTAACTTTACTGGCCTTTGTTTCCCAAACCTCATTCCCCTGGGAAGGAGGGTGTGGAGGGGGGTGGTTAGTGGAGAGGGGTGGTGAGGAGTGCTGGTTCTAGAATCAGACCTTCTGGATTCACACCCAGTTCTCTAAGTTTTAATTTGACCTCAAGTAAGGTACATACCAGTGGGTTCCCCGACTTGTGAAACAAGTGTGACAGTGATGCCACCTCTAACAGTGGTTGTGAGGGTTGAATGAAATAACATCGGGATCTGTTTAACACACTGCAGTGCCTGGCATGAATGGTTATGTGTTTTCCTAATTTGCCTTAAAATCAGTGCATACATACTTGTGAAAATAACAAATATTTCTCCATGTGCCATCTAAAATCATTTTGTGTCCAACTATTCAGGACACTTTTTTATTAGGTATCTTTTTAAAAAAATTTTCATTTATTTATTTTTAGAGAGGGGGGAAGGAAGGGAGAAAGAAGGGATTAATGTGAGAGAGAAACATCGATCAGTTTCCTCTCCTGCACACCCCAACTGGGAACTGAACCGACCAGCAATTGAACTGCTGACCTTTTAGTTTGTGGGATGATGCCCAACCAACTGAGTCACACTAGCCAGGAGTCTTCAGGAGATTTTGATCTTGCAAGTTTTTGAGTCAGGGGTGGATGGTGACATCAAAGTTGTTACATCATCAGTGTAGTGGTCTCCAGACTTTCAGTCTGTGAGAGCAAACATACACATTTTTATTTACATACCTTTGCCACTCCTCGTGGACCCATGAAGCACTTGGAGGTAACCCTAGAGCAGATATGTTGAGGACAGGAGGAATTAGGTATTTTCGGTGAATGTCTGGTGAGAACAACATTCTTCTGGTGAAGAAATGCATCCAGGGGTATTTTTTCACCAAGGGCTGTCCAGTCGTCCACCCTGGTTTTGACTCCCAGTTTTGCCACTTTCCTTAGTGCCTCAGAGAAATGGAAGTGATAGTGCCTGGCACATAAGTCCTCAGATGTGCTAGCTGATTTTGGCCTAGGTCATCATCCCTCGGCTGCCATGGTACAGAGAGACCCATTCACATTAACAATGGACTGGTCCTGACTGGTATGACTCAGTGGGATTGGGTGCTCTCTCACAAACCAAGAGGTCACCTGTTTGATTCCCAGTCAAGGCAAATGCCTGGGTTGCAGGCCAAGTCCCTAGTTGGGGGCGTGTGAGAGGCAACCAATCAATGTTTCTCTCCCTGTCTCAATCTGTTTCCCTCTTTCTAAAAATAAATAAAATCTTTAAAAAATGCAAAAAATTTAGAGTGAACACAATGTGAATAGCGCCCCCTGGAGTTGTGCAAGAAGTGGCTCAAGAGGAACCCATTCACACCAACCACAGACAGAACACAGTGTGAAAAGGAGTTATGCAAGAAGTGGCCCAGGCACTCATTCCCCATTCATATAGCAAACAAACGTGCATTGAGTGTCTGCCATGAGCCAGGCGCTGCTGGGGGCTGGTGATTCAGCAGGGAGCAGGCAGACAAGGGCCCTGTTCTGGTTCGCTTATATCCATCTCCTTATTTGCAAAGGGGTACAGTAATAGTACCCAACCTGTAGGATTGCTGTAAGGACTAAACAACAACAAAAAAATGACAGATATAAGTTGCTTAAAAGGGTTGGTACATAGTGCTAAACAATTGGTAGCTGTTGTCATTTATTAGGGTTCCTACAACATCTTGGTGGGTACAGAATATATTTTGGCCCAGTTGTGATTGTTCTCTGTGTGTTCAACATGGTAACAAAGGAATCAACTCCTCCATTTTT